TTACAAGTTTCGCTGTTCAAGTCCTATAATTGCTGTGTCAAGAACAACGACTAATTTGTCAATCAAATTTTTTTCGTTTTCAATAACCTCTGTTACTTTTCTTCGCTATCGGAAGCGAATTATATGACGATTACTTGTTTTAAATCATATCAAAGACGGAGCATTCGAGATGAAATACTGCATTTGGCAGGAATTATAAGCCAAATAAAAATCTGCGCTGAAGATAGGATAGTGCTGACAAATCAACTTCCCAATTCATTACGCGCCCGTGAGCAGCGTGAAATTGATAAACAATTTTGGATTTCAAACATACTTTCGCTTTAGATCCTTTACATATTAACAAATATATATCGGAATTCTATTTGATATAATCGAAAGTTTAAGCTTACTTTTATAAAATTGCTCTTACAGTCCTGCAAAAAATAATAAGCCGGATCCAATTCGAAAGTTAAGGAACAACGCAATCATCAACATTAACTGAAATAGATAATTAGATAATTTTAGCTTATACGTCCATTATACATAAAAACGCGCACGCGAAAACGTATTCTGCACTTGCGCATACTCATATGCGCAGTCGTAAAAGGTCTTACGCGCACGCGTAAACTCCTATGTGCATGTGTCAACGCGGCGCATGCGCAGAAAGTTTTTAAGTTTTGATGTCCGGATTATAGATCATTCCGAATTAACGACTTTTGACTGTATACACATCTAATAAGTCATATATTTACATACAGATACAGAGATGTGATGGTTTAGAAGTTGTTAATATATATTTATTAGTATTAATGTGATGAATAAGATTTATATTAATGAATGTATATACAAATGTTTTTCATCATGCATAATAATAAATCCATAAATTTCCAATGTTTCAGTATGTAGCATTTACAAATAAAAGTATAGTTTCTAATGTATTTATAATCTAAAAAGTATTTCTTTAATAACATGAAAATAATAGACAAATTTAATGAGTATTCTCATTAATACATAAGCTATGCTTTTCTTTTTTTATGCATCTTTTATGCCGTTTAAAATGTGTCACTGATTATGCAATTAACAGTTTAAAAGATAAGTAATTAGGAGAAAAGCCGAGCATATACAAACGGATTTTAAAAAATTATTCAACTTAAATTTAAGAAATAAAATTCTATTATATAACAGTGATAATACACGATCAGCACGAAATACGACAAATTTGGCGAACTTTTGGCAACGAACAATTTGTAAACAAGAACGTCGTAAAATACTGACAACTCTGAAATTTCCACAATTATATATTTAATGAATATATACACATTTAAAAAATGACTCAAGCAGTTGTATTACAACAACACAGCAATAATTAAATCGGCCTCCATTTCCACCGTCCATCACTTCACAGTGAGAGCCATCGCCATATTGAAAGTTACCCGTGATCCTCCAGAACCAGAACTTTCGTCTGATTGGTTGAACGTTACGAGGAACACGTCTCCAGACGGAACATTTTCGGGAAAAGTTTTAAAATGTTGTTCACTTGTAGCCGGGACATTTTCCTCCTATCTAGACGAAACATTTCTCGGAAGCCTGCCACTTAAAGGCCATGCTACTAGAATCTCATTTCTCGGAATTGTCCCGGGTAAGCGTGCGCGTCCATAGAAGTGATAGGGCCCTTATGCTAGAACTTTTATGGAACAAAAGTGCTTAATCATGACGAAGATTAGGTGCGAAATTGGGAGACACCATTTTGTTTTCACGAAGTAAAGGCATTGTTTTTTTTTTCCCTCCTCAACATTTTTTCCAACAATCTGCTAGCCGAATTACGCTTATGCTAGAACTTTTATGGAACAAAAGTGCTTAATCATAACGAAGATTAGGTGCGAAATTGAAAGAAAGTGCAGAATCGCAAACTGCTTGCCGCGTTTTTAAGAATTTGCTCATACACGGTATCCATGTACACGTCGACCTGTTTTCACTTAAAAAAACATCCCAGAATTGCACAAAAATGGCATTGCGCACACTGTTGACTTTTCCCATGTACACTGCTAAAGTCCTAGCTAGTAACCTTTATCGCCTTACCAAAATGTCGCCAAACTACCTGTTACCATATTCCAAAGATTAGCCGAAAGTTTATTTTCGGAAGCTTGGCTGCTAAAATTCTTCGGAAATTATTTTAAAACTTTAAGTGTATTTAAAATTGCATATTTTTTTCAGTTATTTCTAATTAAATACTTTTTAATTTGGTTTCAATTCGAATTTGAAACTGTCTTCGTTTCATTCTTTTCATAAGTGTTTATATCACTTTATTCCAATTTTTAGTATAAGGCAGTGTAGTAAATAAATGTTTCAGGTAATGAAAATTAATTTTAATGTTATTTCTAAATGACATGCATTCCACGACTACCGCTTACTTGAGTGAAATTTTGGTTTGTTATGTGTTTTAAATGATAACTAGTGGCTGAGTAAATAATATTTCTTTAACTCTGATAATTTGACCTCAATTCAAAATGCGAAGAACGGATTGACTGCATGAACGTTTCTTGTTCTCTCACATATCTAAAGGGTATATCAGCCAATTTCCTTTTAACGCCCTCCACGAAAGCCCCTTTTGCTTAGGTAGATAACACTTTATTTAATTCGACAAATAAAAATAAAATTATATTCGAAATAAGAAAGCTAAACTTATGAGCGTTTCATAACTATGTTTAGAAACCCTTGCTTTAATGAATCAATATAATGACAATAAATTTTAATTTTGTGACAAATGAAATACAAATTTTTATTAAAGCAGTTATTATGGAATATTTTTTAATTCAAAATTAGAAAAAGTTTCAAAACTTTTTAATTTATCCTTTGTTATATGATTTGCGTCTATGTCATATCTGTATCAATTTGTTCAGAAATTAGATACGTTTGTTTAGGTTAATTGAATATAGAAAAGCACACGAAGACTGCCTACCTAAAGGAAAGCATGCCTTCGTGCAGAACTTTCAAGAGAAATTGGCTCGTATTCGCGCTTTACATCACAACGAAAACCGACCTTGCTGCCAGCTCGATTGCCTGATGTCAAACCTATGTCTAACTACCAGCACTCAATGTCCTTAACCTCTCAGTAACTTGTAATGTTCAGAAAGTAATTAATTTTACATGAGAATCGTGTTTTGAAGGGAATCAAACAAGATATTGGAATACTAAGCATGTATACAGGAATTCAGATGTGTACTACTTTTAGTTCCCTGAATTTAATCCTCAGTGCAAATCTTCATTAATATTCATTAACTCAGTACGAATCTTAATTCCCAGCTTCATTACTTCCATAGAAAGCAACAGTAAATAGCTTGAGATCTGAAAATTTCGCGTAACAGTTTGATACCTCAAAGGTGATTTTAGCATTCTGAAAATGTAGATCATAAAAAACTGAAGAAATGTTTCGCCATTCGACAAAGATGTTTACATTTTGAAATTTGAATGCGTTCCTGTATCAGGGTTCGTAGCAGTCCTTATAAGTGCTTGTAAGTCCTTATATTTGAAAATGAAATATAAAGCCCCTTATAGGTGCTTACTTTTTCTTTAAAGCCCTTATTTTTTTGTTTTTAGGGCTTATTTTTTGCTTTTAGTGCTTTTCTTTTTAAATGAATGCGCTATTTTTCCCGGTACCAAAGCCAAAACTAAATAAACAACTTTTCTTCCTAATATGGAATGTCAGATGGTGAATCATACTCCCAGAAATAGCTTTTCCCCTTTCTCTGCATTAACATAACCTTTGGTGTGCACGAAGAGTACAGACAGGTGCCCGTCGTTCTATTTATTGGTCAAAGAATTGCGAATGCAGTTGAAAATTCCGGTACATTCGGGATTCTTTGCCTCCCACTCAAATACTACACACGTTTGAATTTCTATCAAGATCTTAAAAATTTGCGGACAGTTCATATTCGTGTTTATTATGATCGTTATGCTTATATTATGAGCATATGTATGAATGTTCATAATAACATAGTTGCAGTAACTGCTAAAGTATAGTAAACTTTCAAAAATGGTTGTGTTTTAACACAGATTAGCTTTCTAAGGAATAATATTCGGAATGGCTTAAACAAAGGGAAAGTAATCGAATAGTCAAAATAATTTTGTTTTTTTGGCCAATACATTATACAGTACGAAGATTGGGAAGTTCTTCCCTTTCTCCGCAAAATCTCGAATATTGAAACTGTTACAGTTCGCTGCAAAACAAGCTACGGACTTTTTTTTTTTTTTTTTTGGTCACTTTCCATTATTCTCCCAATACCGGCAAATGTTGATTCCGATTGCGTAATATAACGTAAGGAAGGCTCACGTATTGCGCAATAACGCTTGGGAAATTTTGCAGAGATAATTAATTTTGATGTTCTGTCCGAGACTTGTTTATGAACACTTAAAATAGTTTTACTGTGCTTGCTAAGCAGAATATTTTTCAGTTCCATTGATTTATTTTTATATGATGCGTATATCGAAATGTCAACAGCATTTATTTAGCGGAAAAATTTAAAGCGCGGCTACAATCTACCCCCCCCCTCTCCGCTTTTCTTTTTCAAGTTACGCTCGTCCGAATATTCGCCAGTTTCCAAGTATGCTGCATGAAGCAAATTTCTGTCTTCTGATTTCAGAAATTGTACAATTCCTGTACAAAATCCTCCACGAAGGTAGATAGCCCTTGTGTACTTTACCATATCCAAGCAAATGTTGAAAAAAAAAGAAGTTTATCTTTCAGTGAATATAATATTCAATTTTGTAAATGATTTTATTTCGTTCTGATTTTTCATGATCTAAAGGAATCTTAGCATTTTTTATGTTCCTAGTATTATTTTATGTATTTAAAATAAACAATTATGTAGAAGCAAAAGTGTTTCTATTTTCTTGATTTTCCTTCGTAACTGAATGTATTTGAGTTGATGATTCATTGCATTTGTGAAAAAGTGTATTTTAAAATTATATTTACTTCCCTGTGATACATTTTACATCTGTTGATATGCTTTTTAATTCTACAGGTGATCAAGAATTAGCTTCATTTTTAGCCGAAGAAATTGAAAATGAAAATAAAGTGCGAGTGAAATCTGATCTTCCAAAGCTTGAAGGATTTGAATATTCCTTATCTGAAGCTGATGTTACTTTAACAAAAAAGTTTGGCAATGAAATGTACGTTTTTTTTTTTTTTTTTTTTTTTTTTTTTTTTTATATATATATATAATATAATTTGTTTTAAAAATTAGTTACACCATGAAGTTATTTAATGTGTGATTAACTTTTGATTTTATGAATTTGAATTATGAAAATTTTGTACGGACTGTTAAAAGGTTTATAAAATAGAACATTTATAAATAGGAATGGTATTAAATAAATACAATTTGCATCCACTTTTAATTAGAGATTTTAAAAAAATCACTGAAATTTGTATTTTTTCTAATTAAATGATTATTCCATAAATATAACCCCACCTTTTTCTGTGATATCATTTTTAATTAAGGTATAAATATCCACTTGTTTTAAAATTTCTTTGTCATTCAAAGAAGCACATTCTATTTTTATTTTAAATTGAGGATCAAAATCTACCAAGTGAATATAGGGACAAAGGTGAGGCTTGCAGCTGAACTGATGAACCAGCCCCATGCATGATTATACAGTACAAAGTCCGAAATCCGGAATGATCTAAAATCCGGACCTCAAAATCACCACCAACTTTAGAAAAAAAAAATATTTATTTATTTTGTGTGTGTGTGCTTTATGCATGCACATTTGATTGACCTGGAAAAGTCAGGGAATTTCATTTTCCTGTTTGAGTGGCAACCCTGATAGAAACATCCTTGATTTTACATCTACTAATATTTTATATCTCTGATGCAACTTGGCGAATCATTATTTATTATGTTTTGTTTTCGTCATTCCATGTTTATCAAGACATGTTAACTTGAGTAATGACTCATGTAATGATGTCTAAATAGTTTTTTGTATTAGTAATTGAATAACAAAGAGTATGGTAACCTTTTATGTTGACATTACGCTTGAGGGTGATTACAGATTTAAGTTTGTTTTCTAGCGCATTAAGAAATGTTGACAGGAAATATTTAACAAACGTATCTTTCCATATGTTAAAAATAAATTTTGTTAATGATACTCATAGGCCAAATGAATAAATTTAGTGCTATTTGAATTAAGAATAAATAACTAATTTGTTATTCGCATAAACCCAGCGCCAGAACTTGAATGGCCGCATCGAGCAGTGGAATTTAGGGAAGACAAAGGGAGGCACTTGGTAACAGAATTTAGTACTCACAGAGACTGCATCAGGTGTTAAGATTTCTAGTGCCGGCCCTCAATAAGTTATATGTGAGAATTTATTTATTCAGGACTCGGATAAACCTTAAGCATGTGCGAGGAATAGGCTTAAGTATAATAAGTAACTAAACTGATACAATTCAGGCTTAATTGTCTCAGTTGTGCGATAGAAGCAAGATAAAATTTAGTGAAACAAATTGTCTTTAATTTCCAGTCTCATGATACATAGCCAAATATCTATAGTGAATGATATCTTAATTTTATGATGATAGCCATGAATCTATAGGTTCTTGAATATCACAAACTAAAGGTTAAATTTTCTAATTAATGGATTTTGTAAAGAAATGTGAAGGAGCGGTAGTAGATGATATAAAAGGAGTTTTTCATTGTGATGACCATGCTCCTCAGTCATCAATCATTTAACGGATGACAAAATCTGTAGTGGGGTTCTAAATACAGAAAATACTGCCACAAATAGTGAAGGAAATGACAGAGAGTGGTTACGAAAAATGAAAAATTTTTTACTTACAAGTTAGTCAGAATCCTAGACACAGCAATTACAGGACTTCAGCAATGGATCTTTGTAACTAAACAAGAAATTATGTCTGTCTATATAATTAAATAGAAAGTATTAGCACAGAACACAAAGCAACTTAAACAACTTGAAAGACATGTTTAATAAAGTAGACAAATATTCAGATTTGTTTTCGAAATTTTGATACACTTTAGATCATGAGTGCTTCATTATTTCATAAACTATGATATTATATTTTTAATTTTATTATTTCTACATGCCATCTTTAGATTTAAACTAATGATCTAATATCGGGAAAAATCCCAAATCCGGAATCGCGCTAGTCCTGACGGGCCCAGATTTCAGACTTTGTACTGTATTCCCATCATTGTAGTTTTCCAAAGGGGCCGAAAGAGGATGCTTTTTTTAAATTGAACATCTAGTGAGCACACCACCCGAGTTTAGATTTCACCCTACCATTACAAGTCCCTGCCATGTCTGAACGGCCTATTGTAAACAATGGTTCTAGTCCTGTAAAATCTTTCACATATCAGCTACTCCCAAGGAATAAGCAGAGTAAGCAACTAACCCTGTGTAGACAGGAACATGCATAGACTTAGCTGCATAGATAGGAGCCTATGTAGCTGATATTGCATTGTTGCCCCTAAACCACGTCAAGGGAGAACTCATGGAAGGGAAGCAAAGAGACAATTAAGAGAATTTTTTAGCAAATGAGAAAAATGTGGAAATTTGAATTACTTTATAGTACAAGGTACTTGTGCATTAATGCTAGAACCTTGGCACAATTTGGCAGGTTTTTACAGTTGAAAAAGTAAATTATGGGATTCAAATAGTAGCTTTTCAGACGATCGATATTTATGATAAATAGGCAAATATTATACTTTAGCAATTTATGATATAAATTTTAATTGTAATCCTTTAAAAAAAATTAACATTTCTCCAAATCTTTCTGTTCCCCCTTCTCTTCTTTTCTTCCAAGTATGCAACAATCTGTTTTTGCTTAAAAAGAAAAATTGTGATGAAATTCTTCATTTTTGGAGAAATATTAGCCTAGTTTCTTCCATTGCTGGCGTGTTCCACAAGTGCATATCTTAAAATTAAGTTTAAACCAAAAAAATGTTATGTTTGTTTTATAAAAAGTGTTTAAACTTGAATGCAGCAAAAAAACGCATATGAAAATGGTGACATCACTTGACTGAAGGGTTGTTATGAACATGGTTGCCAGATTTTGTCACATTCTGGAAATCTGCAGACTTCTACTAAGATGGTTGCAATAATATGCAAGTACCTATGTTTTATGAATGTATGACAGGCTGCTAATCCAATTATTTTTGAAGAAAAAGCAATTTCATTTGTTACAGCATCCTTTTTATTTATAGAATGTTATTCACTTCAGTTGTATAAACAAAATCATACCTTCTCTTTTTATCAGTTTTCAAGGTTCAGAAGTTTAGAATACTTATTCATTTTATCAGTTAGAGAAAATTTTCCTTTTTTGGATTTTCGACATTCAGAGAAAAAAGTATGTGGATTTAATTTTTAAACTGTAGATAAATTAGAATTAATTCTGTGGGATAATTTGAGGACTAATAAAAAAGTAAAATTTAGAAAAACCTGAATCCACTCTACATTAAATTCAGCAATCTTATTTTGATCTATAATTATAAGTCCTTGAGGGCATATCCCCCCTCCCATTTTACAGATTTTAAGAGCAGTATTTGGACTAATTTTTATTTTCTTGTATGAAGTAAAGGAAGTACTCTAATTAGTAATAAAAAGAAAAAGTATTGTAAAGCCATCTTGTAAGAAACCTGAACATTGATATGATGAACTGAAGGGAAAAAAACAGAAAAATGAATAACAACACTTACACTACATCAAGAATTCTTAGCGTATACTGTTATGCTGCTTTTAAATTTTTTGTAATTTTGCTGTTGAATTGTATATGGCATAAGTGTGAGGTTAAAATTATGCTTAATAATAAAGCTAAAAAGACAAAAAGAAATGGATTAGCAGAAGTGAGTTAAACAACAGACTGATGGGTTGCGAGCTTAGCGAGTGCGTAAAAAAACTTAACACCCTTTTAAGTGACTGTAAAATCTGAAACTTTTCAGATTTCTTTTTTAACTTCCTTATAGAAAGCAAAGGAAATATTGTAATTGTGAAAAATTCCGGGTACTAATGAAACATCTTCTAACAAAATTCAGTGAAAACATCCATTTTGACCACTCTCAAATCCATTGGAATGATGTGTTTGCATGACATCTGTACATATGAACAGAATAAAGGACTCTTTTTTTTTTTTTTTTTTTTTTTCCAAAATGGATTTAAAGTGATTCAGAAGAGATTTCTTCATGACGTCTGTATGTACCTTCGAAAACGAGTAGCCGTAGAACTTTGAAATTTTGTATGTGGGATTGCAATAATATGTAGTTATGCACCTCCCTTTATCTTATACAATTATCAACAATTTAAAAGTTTAACTGGTTTAATGAGGCTGAAACTCTAGAATAGTGGCTTAAGTTGGTGCACCAGGTTTAATGTCTTTTTGCCCTGGGTAACCAAAAGTTAACTTTCAGTTTCATGCACCGAAAATTTTGTCTACCTCTCTGCTAGCTGAGTTGCTTGTTTTTGCATAGAAACTCTAATTTTAATTATAAAATCAGGGTTCGTAGCGGTCCTTATAAGAAGAAGTGCACGAAGAGTATAGACAGGTGCCCGTCGTTCTTTTGATCAAAGAATTGCGAAAACAGTAGAAAATTCCGCTACACCTCGGCATTCTTTTCCTCCCTCCCAAATGCTACACACGTTTGAATTTCTATCAAGATCTTAAAATTTTGCATTCTCGTTCCGCTTGGTCAATTCATATTAGTGTTTATTATGATCATTATGCTTATATTATGAGCATATGTATGAATGTTTATAATAACATAGTTGCAGTAACTGCTGAAGTATAATAAACTTCCAAAAATGGTTGTGTTTTAACACAGATTAGCTTTCTAAGGAAGAATATTCGGAATGGCTCTAATAAAGGGAAAGTAATAGTCAAATTAATTAAATTTTTTTGGCCAATATATTATGCAGTACAAAGGTTGGGAGGTTCCTCCTTTCTCCGCAAAATCTTGAATGTTGAAACTTACGGTTCGCTGCAAAACAAGTAACGGACCTTTTTTTTTGGTCACTTTCCAATCTGGATTGAATAATAGGACTAAAAGTTTTGCGGTCTACCAACCCAAGCAAAGAATGATTCTATTCCGGAAATTTAACGTCATCTGTTGAAAATTAGAATGAAAAACACCCCAGTTATTTAGTTCTTTATTCTCCCAAT